TACAGAAGTCACACTATGAAACAGTATGGTAATATCGCTCCTTCCCCAGAGGTGAAGTTGTCACCAGTCAGTGGTAATGCCAAGTGGTAGACTGTGCAAGCCCACAGACTTCTGGACAGCTCAGGGGTTGCTGCAGGAGGTAAAGTGGCCTGCTTGTCGTTCAGGCATGTAGTGTTCAAGCAAAGTTTTAGCCTGACAGAAAAGTAAAATATGCGACCATATAGGTGCCTAAAGTTTACAAGCAGATCACACCTTTTATAAGATCTTTAAACTCTATTTAAGATAAATGTTTTAGCCCTGGCTGGCATAGCTCAGTGGATTGAGTGCACACCTGCGAACCAGAGTATTGCAGTTTGGTTCCCAGTCAGGGCACATGCCTGGGTTGCAGGCCAGTTCCCGGCAGGGGACACATGAGAGGTAACCACACATTGATGTTTCTCTCCCTCTCTTTCTCCTTCCCTTCCCCTCTCTCGAAAAATAAAGAAGATATTTAAAAAAAGATAAATGTTTTAAATTCCAGTGAGTCATTTCTTGAGAGTTAACTGACCCCTCCGGGCCCCTACTTACCCTGCAGTATTACACACACTTCCCATCAGAGACACTTCTAAGGCTTGAGTTGCCAGTTGGTCAGGTACTGTCATTCCTTTATGAAGATGCCAGTTTAACATGAGCGCCAGCTCTGTGTCTGCCTGCTGGTTTAACACGTAACGCAGAGCTTCTCCAACTGACAAACGCTGTAAGCCATATTCACTTGAAATTTTTTGGGCAACTGAAAAACAAAACTTTTAAACTTACTCCATTTCATAAATTCATCAGTTAATCTTAGTTGCAGGTTCTGGTTAACTGATAGCAACAGCAAACTAATCTTCACGTTCCTTAAAATCATTTTTAAAATTAAAATTGCTACATTTTACTGAATTAATACTGTCAAAGGTCAATCATTATCAGTATTTCAGGTATATCTGGCTGACAGATCTGGGTAATGAGCCAACTCTGTGGGTTTTTCTCAGAACCAAACCAACATTTAAGTTTTCCTTCTTGCATAAGGTAGTAAAATTATTGAGAGCGACTAGGCATCCTATGTATAGTACTAATATTTGGTATTGTGTCCCAAACAGCTCAGTTAATGCCCTAAGAAACAATTTTTAAAATTATAAATGGCATGCCAGACATTTTAATAGTAATTTATAGCTTATGAGGCAATTCTTTTTCTGTGACTTTGATATTTTCAAGTATCCCACCAGATGGGTACAGTAGATATTGAAATTCCAATTCTATACATGAGAGACCTGAAGCCCAATTAAATGGGATGGTTTGTCCAATGTTACACAGATGTCACCATTGATTGAAAGAAAACTCACCTTGGTTTCGCTTCTCCTAAATGAGACCAAGGCATGGCTTCCAGGAACTAGCCCAAGTGTGGGCAGCTCCCGGGAGCTGTGTGCCCTGTATCATCGCTGTCTGCAGACCGCAGCGCGGAGGAGGCTGGGAGGGCCCGTCTTGTCCCAGGAAATGCAGGCGAACTGACTGCAGTTAGGATCCCTCGGCAGGGAAACCCCCATGAGAGCCGCGGAAGCCTTAACCTCGGTTTTGCCAGAAATGCTAGAATCAGACCTATTTTTCAAAGTTCCAAAAATAATTAAGCTTTTACGGTTGGACATTTTGTTTAAAAGTTAACCTCTGTTTCAACAAAGACATGTGAAATCAGATGGTCTTGTCTCTATTTTTACTTTGTGCTGTCATTGTGGGATCTTATTTGAATGTCAATGTTCTGCTTTCTTTGGGAAATATCAACATCTTTGTGAAAATTTTAAATATGGTTATTAAAGGCTCTCATCATGTTAAGAAATTTAAATGGCAAAACAAATTTCATCTGGAGGAGTGGAATATAAAACTCCGCTTTATTTTTCTTGTGACAAATTCAAATTGACCTTTAACCTCATTTCTGCCCTCCATTCTCTATTCTGAGTCATGGAATCCATTGTTTTCCTTGCAAATATCTTCTGTATCTGTCATTTCCATTCCTATTCTCATGACAACCATATGACAATCAAGATATGGTTGATGTTGAGAGCATGTCATTTAGAAATGCCTACTATACCAACTATTGTTGGATTATCAGCCTTTAAACACACACATACACACACATACACGGTCCAAAGTTATACAAAATTCAGACATTACAGGAATGCAGTTTACTAAATTCTATTCAGCAGTAGTTAAGATAATAGACTTTCACTCTTTCAACTATTAATACAGTAGATTATACTTACAAATTTTTAAATATAATTTTTATGCTAATATATCAATATACTGTTATTTCACTATTTATGTTCCATTAGTTTATAATTTCTTTTCTTGTATTATCTTTGTTAGGTTTTAATATCAGGATTATGCTAATTTGGAAATGAATTTGTATTCTTTGTATCTTAGATTATGTGGACCATATTTCTTAATAAAAATAAATTGAAAATAAGTCAGGAAGCTGTCTTTTTCCGTGCTCTGGAAGAGCTTATAACAACACAGGAAAGATCTCTTGAGTTTTTAACCCTTTGAAAGTTTGCATACTTTTTCTCTAAAACCATTTGATCCTAGGCTGTTTTAGAGTAGGGCTATATTTTTGAGTGCCTTCTCTCAAATGGTTATTGGCCCATTGAAGTTTTCTCTCTCTTTCTGTGTCAGTTTGGACAGTTGGTTTCTTGAAGAAGCGGTGCTGCTTTCAGGGGGTTCCTTGATGCTTATTGGGAACAAAGGCAAACACTTCCTCACCTGTCGTTTTCCCCGATTTTGGAGGCCCCACAATTGCGATCTTAATGGGCATATTAGGCTTTGGTTTGGGTTGGCGAATGTATTTGATTGGGTTCTTCATAAATTTTTCTTTAGTTTCCTTACTAGATAAAAAATAAATATACTGACGATGGATTACAGGATAAACTGGATTCTCTGAACTTTCAACTGGCTTGAGTGTCTCTCCTTCACTTAGCTGCAATATATACACAATTGAATTAGAAAGGTAGCTTTAATTTATACAGCATTTCTCCTAAATATATTTAAAAATAAAATAATTTGTTAAATAAGAATAAAAAGCTAATTATAATCAAATATTAATACTTATAAAACTGTAAAAAGAGTAAATTATTTTATACCCATATATATATAAGGCTTTCAGTTTATGACCGTGAGAGTGCTTTGACTTCTTTTATACTGTCTTTGGTGTATATACTCAATGTTTCTGCCAAGGAGTATAAAGTTGTTTAGATATATTCAAGGGCCAATTTATCTTTACAAATAGGTCTATTACTAAGATAATGTTATGTATGGATATGTGTTTCCCCAAAGGCACAGGTCAAAACCCTAACACACAAAGTTTCTGTATTTGGAGACAGTCCTCCAAGGAAGTAATTAAGGTCAAATGAGTCACAAGAATGGGGCCTTAATCCAATAGGACTGGTGTCCTTATAAGAAGAGGAAGAGACACCATGAGTGTGGTTCTAGTTTATCTTTCAGGTATACTATTAGGACAAATGCCACGCACCTAATCAACAGCAGCCACGAAAGGAAAAAATCCACCTAAAAGGCAGCGTAAGGGACAGGGAAGGAATGAAGTGGGAGGAGGAATCCCACATGACTGAGGTGATGATGAGAGCTGGGTAATTTATTGATGCTACGTTTGCATGTCTTTTTTATAGCATCAGATGGCCAGGCGTCAGCCATCCCTGGCATTGATGGAGTAGATGTGAAACAGTATGGTAGCAGCTCCTTCCCCAGAGCTACGCTGGCACAGTTGTTAGTAGTCAGTGGTATTGTCAACATTATCACTCTTGGGATGGAGTGATATTTATGTCTGGGAGTAAAAGTTTCATATAGGGGGAAAGTCTGGAATGGGGTGAGAATGTCTGCGCTATGTTTTATACTTGGTAATACCAGAAAAGCTAAAAGTTTAAGGGTCCCATGTATATAATTTCCAAATTAAGTGTGAATCCTTACAGTAGGATGACAAGCACACCCATGATGGCATAAAGTCAGAAATACCAAATTACCAGGCAACAAGAAAGGTTCTCAACAGTTCTTACAAATGATTCCTTACACACTTAAACCCTCCCTCTGACTGTGCACTCATTTTTCTACAAGGTGTTTTTGTGCAATCCTAATTGTGTTTGCACATGGGCTCGTTTTTCCTCTCAAAATAAGACTTCTGATTTTGCCTGCTTCTTTCCCTCTCTTACCTAACTCAGAGAATGTTAGGTCCTGACTAGTTTCACACCCTTTCCAGGTGATTCTAATACATGCTTAACTTTATCCAATTCTCTATGGAGTGTCCTGTCATAGTGTCTTTATATTTTAGCATGATATTTGGAAAGGTTTCTCTTATGGTTAAGATAAAGAAGATAGCACAATTAGATAGAATTGAAACTGATTGTGTTTCACAACATCAACCAAGAAGGTGATTTTGAGGATCAATGACACACACATGGCTCCATTTTGGACTCATCCTCCAAAATACTTTTTATCAGCAACCAATAATAATAATACATACTAATAACAATAACTCATATTATTTGAGTTCTTACAAAAATAAGCACTGTTGTGAGCACTTCACAGTAATTAACTCATTTAATCATTGTAACAATATTTTCAGGTAGGGACTATTCATATTCCCATTGTATAAGTGGGAATGGCTCAGAGAGGTTAAGTAATTTGTTCAAGCGCATTCAGCTAGTCAGCAGAGGTTTTGAATTCAGGCAGTCTGGCTCCAGAGGCACTGGTCTTCTACTGTGCTATATCACTGATAGAAATGCAAAGGTAACCTGGTTGAGTGAGCAGATCACTACTGGATGATATGCTTTCACTGTCTTACAGTGCTTAATTCTGACAAGAACCTATTGATTTGTTTACTTATTTATTGCCTACCCTCCCTCCCCAACCCAACTAGAATATAAGCTCTACAACAGAAGAAACCTTGTCTGTTTTGTTCATTTCTTTATTCCCAGGGACTAGAACAGTGGCTGGCGTGTCCTTGGTTAAGATTTGCTGAAAATCATTCTGGCTATCATCAACAAATAATTAAACAACGAATGTTGGTGAGGATGTGGAGAAAAAAGAATCCCCGTGCACTGTTGGTGGGACTGTAAATCGGTGCAGCCACTATGAAAATCGGTATGGAAATTCCTCAAAAATTTAAAAATAGAATGACCTAGCAATTCCACTTCAGGATGTTTATCCAAAGAAATCCAAAACACTAATTTGAAAAGATATATGCTTCCCTATTTTATTGCAGCATTATTTACAATAGCCAAGATATGGAACCAACCTACATTCCATCAATAGACTATTGGATAAAGAGGTGGTACATATATATAGTGAAATATTACTTGGCCATAAAAAAGAAGGAAATCTTATCATTTGTGGCCTAAAGGGTATTGTGCTAAGTGAAATAAGTCAGACAGAGAAAGACAAATACCATATGATTTGATTTATATATGGAATCTAAAAAACAAAATAATGAGCAAACAAAACATAAACAGACTCATAGATACAGAGAACGAACTGATGGTTGCTGGATGGGAGGGGGTTGAGGAGCCAGGTTAAAAAGGTGAAGGGATTCAGAAGTACAAATTGGCAGTTACAAAGTAATCACAGAGATGTAAAGTACAGCAAAGGGGACACAGTCAATAATTTTGTAATAACTATGTATGTGGCCAGATGGATACTAGATTAATGGGGGGAATCACTTTGTAAGTTATATAAATGTCTAACCACTATGCTGTATACCTGAATCTAATATGACATTGAATGTCAACTATAATTTAAAAAAATTAAAATTAAAAAAGAAAACCATCCCACATTTGAAGTTATTGAATTCCAGTTGGATCAAATCTATTTGTACAGACTGCATAAATTACAATATTTAAAATAATTTTGTTGTGAACATTAACAGCTCATTCTGAATTGTGTCTCACACTTTCCAGAGGACTTAATACTCTTACATTTGGTCACAGTGGTCCGGTGGCATTATTCTTCCATCTTACAGGTGAGAAAACAGAATCAAAGAGGTTAAAAGACTTGCCTAAAATCAGCAAATGAGTATCACAGTTCAGCTCTGGAGATGTTTAGTTTGAAAATATTTCCACTACCATCTTCTTTTGCTACAAAGTTAAAAACAAGTTGGGACTGGGCTATCTCTACAGAAATGAACAAAAGAAATTAACCTTTCAACTACTTTTCCCACTTCAGAAAGGTAAAACAACCACATATTTTTTTAGCTAGCTAAGAATACTGTTCAATGTTTACAATTTTTGAAATTGTCACTGTCTTCTTAGACTTACTTCAGACACACTAGAAAAAAAGAAAGAAAGAAATAGTAGAACATAACTTTCTGACATTACTTTCCTGACCTTACCTTTACAGGATCCCAGTAGCCAAAGGTGCTTGTATATTTATAGGTAAAGCTGAGCATTTTCTGGGCAAGGCGTGACGATATTGGATAACACTTCTCAAAAATGCTTGCACGATTCTCTACCAGTGGTTTCAGTTTTGTATTCAACATGTATTGTACAATGTGGATTTTCCGACCTCCGTTAATGATAATTACTGGTATTGAAAACCTTTCAAATTCATTCTGATGAAAAAAAAGTAAAACCAAATATTTTCAGTGGGAAGAAGGCTGGTAGTAGTCGGTGGCAGCACACAGACATTGCTGGTGACTGACCAGCAATATTTGGTCTAGAGCACAAATATTTTCCAGCTTCTGCGTGACTGCGGGCTGGCAGCTGGAACCTTTAACCCCATGTGGCTGCCATGTTGCCTTTATTTATTAGTTTTCATAACTGTAAGTAGCACTGACAAAAGGGAATATAGCCCTAAAATACACATTTCTTTTGAAAAGTTAAAAAGAAACCAAGGCATAAGCCAAATTTCTTCTATTTCAACTCAAATGTCACTTTTTTGAATTATGAAAAATAAAGAAAAATTAATAACCTGTATTGCTTGTAAATTACGCATATCTGCTTCAAATTTTTCTCCCAGTTCACTTTTCAGACGTTCAAGTGCATCGCTTTCTTGTTCTTCATCTTCCTCACTCATTACATCCTCATCTTTTGGAAATTCATCTTCAAGAATATTGTCAATGTCATCTTCTTCTTCTTCAGCATCTTCTTCACTAATTTCTTCATCTTCTCTAACAATCTAAGAGGGAAAATATTCCCTTTTATTATACATATAAAACATGTAACAAATGACACTGCTAACTAATCATCTGGAATACTTTGTAATAACCGCATTTTAGTTGGTATGGTATGGCAACATTCATCTCGTAACATGGTAATATTTTAAATATCTGGCACCCAGAAATTGAATACCTTTAAAACTCTGACACCATAGTGATCCCATAAGTAAACACACAGACAAGATATTAAATGCTATTTATGTCTATGGTTGTCAGAATATTACATTTTTGATGGTCTTCAGTAAAACTATTTAATGCAACCCAAGGAGTATAAAGCACCCACTGTGTGTGTTAGCTCGGACAAGATCAGTTTCCTCAACTGTAAAATAGGAATAATAAAAGTACTTACCTCACAAACGTATTGGGAACATTAAAATTAATATATGTACAGCCCTTAGAAAAGTGTCTGGCACATGGTAAGCATGCAAATGATAGCTATTATTGCTATTATAGCTATTATTGTTGTTTTGTATAAAGCGCTGTACTAATAGACTAGTACATGCCCTCTAGGAAGTTAGAACCTATCTGAGGAAACAAGAATAATACAACATCCTGTGATGGGATATTGATACGAAGTGGTATTATATAGGTTTGAAGTGCTATAGTTCAGTTTGTGTAATACCGAGCCCTGTAATATTGATTCTTCTGCACTGCCCTCAAACTCTTCTCCTTGAAGCATTCTTTGTCTCAATTAGAGCACTGCCCTCCAGTTGGAAACCTGAAGGTTATCTTGATTCCTTGCATTCCGTCTCTGCATGTCCAGTTTCCAAGGGCTGTCATTTGAAATAATGTCCACCCTTTCCGATCTCACTCCACTGTTTGCTCTCTCATCTCTGGCCTGAGTCTTCTGGTTAGCTTGATATTTCCTAATCTTTGTTAACTGCTTAGACTCTAGTTCTTCTAAAAAGTGCCTGTAGCTGGGATTTGAACTGAAGGTGCAGGGAAGATGAGGAAATGAGGGCCAGTTCCTCTCAATGTCTGTGCTCCTTCCTCCTTACAAAAAAGGCTTGGCAATGGGGTAGTGTTTCTCAGTTCTGGTTCTTTTTTATTTAAAGCTTGAAACCATTTGGTACTCTTACTACTTTTCCCTTTTTCTTATACACTGACAATTTTTTTTCCTGAGATTTGATTTTCTAAAGATCATTAGAAGTACAGTGGTGGACTGGTAGGTGAACCCACACTACCAGCTGGGGACATTTTAGTTTCAGATGAACTTGTGCTCAACTTTGTACTTAGGGTATGTATCAGTATCTCTGTTAACTACTCGCCTGGGCATAGTGTTGCACGATTCTGCTTACTTGCTGCCCTGGTTCCCCATCCTGGCTCTTCCTGGCTTTCTCCTGTCTGTGGCTGCTCCACACTTTGTGGTTTTTTTCCTCTATTTTATTACTTTTACCTTTATTAATTTGAAACATAGTTTATTTAACCATTTTTCTTTTCTTTATCGTACTTTTTTTCCCATGACTATTTAGTTCCCTTATACCCCTTCCCCACAATCACCACACTGTTGTCCATGCCCATGAGTCCTGTTTCCTTTTTTGCTCAATGCCTTCCCCACTTAGCTGTCATCCTGTTTTCTATCTATGAATCTGTCTTTACTTTGCTTGTTAGTTCAGTTTGCTCATTAGATTCCACATATGAATGAAATCATATGATATTTGTCTTTCTCTGACTGGCTTATTTCACTTAGCATAATGTTCTCGATGTCTATCCATGCTGTGGCAAAGGGTAAAACTCTTTTTTTCATGGCCAAGTAGTATACCTGCTGTAATTGCCCCATAGTTTTCCCACTCATCTGCTGATGGATATTTGGGCTGCTTTTGTATCTTGGCAACTGTAAATAATGCTACAAAGAATGTAGGGGTGCTTATGTTCTTTTGAATTAGTGTTTTGGGTTCCTTCAGATATATTGCCAGAAGTGAGAATGCTGGGTCAAAAAGCAGATCCATTTTTAATTTTTTGAGGTATCTCCATACTGCTTTTCATAGTGGCTGCACCACCTGCATTCCCACCAACAGTGCAAAGGAGTTCTCTTTTCTCCAAATCCTCACCAGCACCTTTTGTTCATTGATTTATTGATGCTAACCATTCTGACATGTGTAAGATGATATCACATTGTAGTTTTTTTAATTTTTTATTTTGTAGTTTTTTAATTTTTATTTTTAAATTTTATTTAGTTATTTTTTAAATATTTTATTTATTTATCTTTAGAGGAAAGGGAAGGAGAGAGAGAGAGAAACATCAATGTATGGTTGCCTTTCGTGCATCCCCTGCTGGGAACTGGCCTGCAGGGAACTGGTCTGCAACCCAGGCATGTGCCCTGACTGGGAATCGAACCTCGATTGTCTGGTTCGCAGGCCCGTGCTCAATCCACTGAGCTACACCAGCCAGGGCTTAGTTATTTTTCAAGTACAGTTTTTTTTGTCTATTTCTCCCATCCCAGCCTCCCCCGCCCCGTGCTCCCCACCTCCCTCCCATTTCCACCCCCCTTAGTTCTTGTCCCTGTGTCCTTCCTGTTTGTTCCTCCAAATCCCTCCCCCTTTTTCCCCTTAACTTCCCTTCCCTCTCCCCTCTGGTCGCTGTCCCCTTGTTCTCTATTTCAGTGTCTTTTTTTTTTTTTCTGCTTGCTTGCTTGTTTTGTTGTTTAGCTTCCTGTTAAAGGTGATATTTGTTGTGGCTGCTCCACACTTTGTAGAGGGGACAGGGGCACCAGAAAAGCCAGGGGGCGGGAAGAGAGCCAAGATTGTGGAGCCAGGAGCAAGAGTAGAAGCAGGGCCTCCCGGGAGGTGGGAGACAGGCAATGTATATCTCGAGATGAAGGGGGTTGGCTCATAAGGTATTTTCAGTCACATCTGGAGACTAAAGTCCTGCATGATGGTGACAGTTTCCTGAGAAATTAATGCAAGCAGTCACCTTCGGACTTTGAAGTGGTTTCTAATGTTAAAATGTTTCATTTACTGCTAAGATGTCAGAGAGCGAAGGCAATGATTTCTGCTCAGGGTGAGACGACAACCCTGGGTAGAGCTTCGCATGTGGTCCCCCAGTTAGTTGTAAGAGGTAAGTCACAGAGCTCCACATTCAGTACCAAGAGGCAGATGAGGAGAAGGCTCCTGTTTCTGTTCACAAAGCCTGTGTAGTCAGGACGGATTCCACTCAGGGTATTACATTAACTGATTACAGCAATCACACTGAGTGACCCTCGAAATGCTAGTGAAATTTTGTTTAGTGTTTCCTTGTCTGAGGCAGTAGAAGGGCATAGAAAACTCCCATCGAAGGAGTTTAAAAAATTATACAGCTTTAATCTTTGATTCATCAAAAATCTCAGGACTTGTCTTCCAAAAGTCAGTTTGTGTGGGATACATAGCCAATTTTATAAGAGTAAGTCCCAGGAGAATTAACTTACAAAAACCTATTTGATTTATAAGATGAAATATCGGATCCTTGAATGAAAAATAATAAGAAACTCCTCATTCTAATGTTAATGAATGAGAAAGTTATAAATTAAGAACATTTAAAATTTATCTGGAAAACTAATTCTCTTAGGAAAAAAATTAAGGAATAGCAAAGAAGGAAAATTAGAGCATTATCAAGTAGGGAAACTAGGTATCATTCAAATTTCCCATTTTATAATGAAAAAACCTAGGCTCAGAGAGATTAATGTTCAATGTTATACAACATCAAAAAGACAATGATAAGCTGCTGCCTGCTGTGTGTCAGCACTGCTGTACGCATCAGGTAGCTGTCGCACAAACTCAGAAAGAGCTGCAGCGCTTACACCAGTGCAGGTCAATTCCATCTGAAAGTCTGTAACCCTCTAATAATACGTCCCTGAGACATCCGAGGTAATCCGTAAGGACTCCCAAGGGCTAGATGCAGCTAACTGTGGCTGGACCCAGGTTAGGATGTCTGTTTTTTTTTCATCTGAGACCTTGCCATGACATCTTTGACAGATTAGAATCTCAGAACATGCTTGTTCAGGGAATGAGCATTAGAATGAGGCTGGAGACTTCTGTGAATTCTGTTCATGGCTGATTCTCCAGTGTCTGAAACAGTGTCAGGCTCACAGTGAATGCTCAGTGAAGGTTTGCTGATGAACTGACTGGATGAATGAAGATCAAAACAAATAAAGAGGAGAGTTCTCATTCCTTGCATGGTGCTGTAAGTTTTTGGTTTAACGGTTTTAGATCTGCTTTTGATTGTAAATACTTTGGACACAGAAATACTTGCTCTGGCCTCTCTTCTGCAATTTTTTGACATACAGATACAGTTACATTGTATCAAGAGTCTTTTGTACAAAAATCAAGCATATCCACACCAGGGTGATACATAGTTGCATGTATAGCCAGCCCTGTTTTCTGTTATTCCTCTTTTATTGGATTAAATTTTTATACAGATGGAAATCAGATTACAGAAGAGTCAGCCTTCATAAGATGTTACGAGGGGGCCTTAAACAAGAAGGAAATGGGAGAAGGCAGAGACTGTGTTATTGTCTGCCTTGGTTGCGGAGTTCCTCATAAACTGATTATAAAAATACAAGCCTCAGGACCTTTATAGAACTAGCTGGTCTAATCACACCTCCTCTTTGACTCCTGTACCCTGAGCAACCTTGGCTGTAGCATCTGGGTCTGCAAGGCCAATTTGGGAATAAGTCTTCATGAAACAAATGAAATAAAATCCACAGTCTTCAAGATTTATGTTTTATTGTTTTTGTTTTCTTTTCTTAAATCAGCAGATGGAGAGAAGGACCTGTACTGAGCATCCTGCAGAGTATATGACTCGGGGTTCACAGGCTCTGCCTTACTCCTTTTTTCCTTAATTTGAGGTAATTTATATTTTAGTTCCAGCACAGTTTCACAGGTTCTCTGTCTAGACCTCAACCCCAAGCTCCCAGTCTGTGTCCCATGGCATGGGGTGGAAGTGTGAAAGCAAAGCTAAAATTCTAAAGGAAGCATTGTTTAATGTAGAATTACATTTGGGTTAGATTATTTAAACATCTCTAGTGGTTTTCTTTCCTTTAAAAGTGTTTATTTTTCAGATTTTAAAAATAATAAAAGATCATCATGAACAGTATAGAATTACAAAAGGTATTAAAAATAAAAATGATATATAATCTCACTGCTTCCACATAAACTGTATTTTCTTCAACATTTTTATCTATGCGACATTTATGTTCTGCTGTTCACACACACACACACACACACACACACACACACACACACACACAATGCTTGTCCTGTTTTTGAAAAACCTTTTTTACTTACCTCTTTCTTTTTTTTCTCTTTCTCTGCTATAAGTTCAGCTCTTCTTTTAGCAATCATATCATCCTATTAAAGAAAGAGGTATTTAAAAATTTTAATGTGTAATGATAAAATTACTTCCTATATATTCATGTTATACACACACACACACTTTTTTCCTGAAGTGGGAATAACATTTGGGTGAAAGGGTGGCAAACTTTCCAAACAAGAATACGCTGGCAGTGATTATGTCACTACATTCTTGTACCTTGGAACCACCTGATTAGCCGGTTCCCTTCCGAAAGACAAATAGCCCTTGGAGCCAGTCACTCTTCTAGAAACTTCAGAGTTCCTTTTCAAATGTATTCCTTACTGATTTGCTTTTGGCGAAGAGATGAATTTTGTACATGAATAGGAAAAAACTTGAAGGCAATCTGGTAAAAATGTTTGATAATCTTTTATCAAACTATTAAATGTAAAAGCATAATAAAACCTGAAAACGTGTCTCGTATGCAAGTGAGGAAAGCACGTGCACTTCGGGTGCGCTCACAGACACGGTGTGTCAGTCCTCCAGGCTTTCCAGGGGCCTCTACGTCTAACGCAACGAATACTTATCCTTTGACATGTCCCCAAGGTTCACGTGGAAACTAATCAGCCCCACTGAGGCTTTGGGGCTCGTTGGCTCAGGGCTCTCTAAACTGCACTCCCTTTAATTCCTAGGATATTAGGGTGGTGCCTGAAGACACACTCTGTGGGCTCAAGGCCAGCAGGATCCTGCTGCTTTTATCTGGCAGTTAGTGAGTATTTTAAATATATTTTATTGATTATGCTATTACAGTTGTCCCATTTTCCCCCTTTATTCCCCTCTGCCCTGCACACCCCTCCCACCTGCATTCCCCGCCTTTAGTTCATGTCCATGGGTTGTACGTATAAATTCTTTGGCTTCTTCATTTCCTATACTATTCTTCCCCCTGTCTATTTTCTACCTACCATTTATGCTACTTATTCTCTGTACCTTTTCCCCCTCTCCCCCTCCTCTCGCTTTCCCACTGATAACCCTCCATGTGATCTCCATTTCTGTGATTCTGTTCCTTCTCTAGTTGTTTGCTTAGTTCATTTTTTTTTGTTTTAGGTTCAGTCATTAATAACTGAGTTTGTTGTCATTTTACCATTCTTATTTTTTATCTTCTTTTTCTTAGATAAGTCCCTTTAACATTTCATATAATAAGGCTTGGTGATGATGAACTCCTTTAAAATTACCTTATCTGAGAAGCACTTTATCTGCCCTTATATTCTAAATGATAGCTTTGCTAGATAGATCTTGGATGTAGGTCCTCGCCTTTCATGACCTGGAATACTTCTTTCCAGCCCCTTTTTGCCTGCTAGGTTTCTTTTGAGAAATCAGCTGATAGTCTTATGGGAACTCTTTGTAGGTAACTATCTCGTTTCTTTTGCTGCTTCTAGGATGTTCTCCTTAATTTTAATCTTGGGTAATGTAATTATGATGTGCCTTGGTGTGTTCCTCCTTGGATCCAACTTCTTCGGGACTCAGCTTCCTGGACTTCCTGGAAGTCTGTTTCCTTTGCCAGATTGGGGAAGTTCTTCTTCATTATGTTTTCAAATAAGTTTCCAATTTCTTGCTCTTCTTCTCCTTTTGGCACCCCTATTATTCATATGTTGGAACAAAACTAGATGAAATTGAATTCATTTACTTTTTGAGCCCCAAAGAGATTCTCTAGCTCTTTAGAGCAGTGGCACCCAAACTTTTGGCATTTCTGGGCCACTCTGGAAGAAGAAAAGGTGTCTTGGGCCACACATTGAATACACTGCAATGTGTAATCACAAAAAAACTCGGACTGTTTTAGTAAATTTATAATTTTGTGTTGGGCCACACTCACAGCCATACTGGGCTGCATGCAGCCCCTAGGACACAGGTTGGACTCCCCTGCATTAGAGGGTGTGAAGTTACAAAAACTCTCATTATTCCTTTAAAATAAACCCAGAACTTTGTCAGCATAAAAAAGGACACAGAAACCATAAAGAAAGAAACCAGTCAGAAACGAAGGATGCACTAACTGAAATGAAGACTAATTTACAGGGAATCAACAGTAGACTAGATGAAGCCAACAATCAAATCAGCAATTTGGAATATAAGGAAGAAAAAAAAAACCTATCCAATCAGGACTGCAAGGAGAAAAAGATTTAAAAAAATGAAGATAGTGTAAGAAGTTCCTGAAACAACTTCAAGTATATCAACATTTGCATGATGGGGGTGCCAGAAGAAGAGAGAAAGAAGAAATTGAAAACCTATTTGAAAAAATGATGACAGAAAACTTTCCTAACCTGGTGAAGGCATAGACTTGTAAGTCCAGGAAGCACGGTGAGTCCCAAATAAGCTGAACCCAAAGAGGCCCAAACCAAAACACATCATAATTAAAATGCAAAAGGTAAAGAGAAAGAGAAAATCTTAAAAGCAGCAAGAGAAAAGCACTTAGTTCTACAAGGGAGCTCCAATAAGAGTGTCAGCTGATTTCTCAACAGAAATTTTGCAGGCCAGAAAGGATTGGCAAGAAATATTCAAAGTGATGAAAAGCAAAGACCTATGATAAGATTATTTTACCCAGCAAAGCTATAATTTAGAATTGAAGGACAGATAAAGAGCTTCCCAGACAAGAAAATGCTGAAGGAGTTCATCACCACCAAACCAGTATTATATGAAATGTTAAAGGGTCTTCTTTAAAATGAAGGAAAAAAGATAAAAATATGAACAACAAAATGGCAATAAATACATATCTATTAACGATTGGGTCTAAAAAACAAAATGAACAAGCAGAACAGAAACAGACTCAAGAGCTAGAGAACATTTTGATAGTTGTTAGGTGAAAGGGATTGGAAGAATGGATGAAAAAGGTGAAGGCATTATGAAGTACAAGTTGGTTGTTACACAATAATCATAGGAATGTAAAGTACAGCATAGAGAACATATTCCATAATATTCTAACAACTACATATGGTGTCAGATGAGTATAAGACATGGCGGGATGATCACTTAGTATGTTATATAATCACCTCAGGGGTACACTTGAAACTATTGAAATATTGTATGTCAATTATAATTGAAAAATTAAAAAATGATTTAAAAATAAAAAATAAAATTGGGAGAAGGAACAAAAAAAATCCACCTTTTATATGATTCCTTTTTTAAAAACCAGAGTTTTACCACAAGTACTTTAACTGTATAGTTGTGAAAACACAGTCACCTTTGCATTTTTATAAGAGAACACTATATATATATATACCACAGAGAAATGCCAAATATGTAGAATAACACACATACATATTTTGAGTCTATTTTTTCTCTTGATCCTTTCACTCAAATAAGTTGTGGTTAGTGGTTTAACTATTGTATGTCTGCTAAATGCCATCACTCTTATGAGCACTGGAGTATATGCATACTTTAATTTTTCTGTTCAGAACATACCTATGAAGCAGACAGTATTATTCTACTCCATAGGTGAGTTAACAAAGTCAGAGGGTTTAACTCATGTAATGCCACACAGCTAGTGGAAGATGGTGTAAGAAGATTCCAGATAAGGCAATGGAAAAGTACATGGTATGTTGAGTGCTGCAGAGGAGGGTTTGTATTTGCTCTAAATAAGAAACAAAGTTAGAAAAAGGGTCTGAAATCTCTTCCCTTTCAAAGGTGATTTTAGTTTTGAGGGAAGCAGAAGTCACAGGGTGTCAAATCTGAGCTGTAGGGGGCTGTCACCTGGGTGACTTAATGTTTTACCAAAAAACATTTTGCTGAAGACATGATGCATGAGCAGATGTGTTGTGTGATGACGCTGCCAATCACCAGTGGCCTATAGCTGTGGCTTTTTGAATCACTGAAATAGTTTCCATGGAGGAATGTTCAAGCTTAACACAAACTTTGATGCAGATTCATTGCTCTACTCATTTAGTCACTTCGAATATGACAGCTACACAGTACACATGCTCACTCAATGATGTCTACCGCCCCCACTGACAGGTACAGTGAAGTTGTCATTGTTCACACATGCGCATTCCAGTCCACTCTCCATGGCTGCCAGGTTCCACCAATGTTGCACAAACCATTCTCATTATATTAACAACGGCTAGATTTTTTCCAGACAGGCCTCATCATATTCCCAGAAGTGGGATTGTTGGATCATATGATAGTTGTGTTTTAAATTTTTTGGTGAACTTCCATACTGTTTTCCATAGTAGCCACACCAAGTTACATTCCCACTAACTGTGAAGTGCTGCTCCCTTTTCTCCATAGCCTACCCAACACTTACCTTCTGTCTTTTGATGATAGCCATTCGAACAACTGTGAGGTGCTATCTCATTATGGTTTTGATTTGCATGTCCCTGATAATAGTGATGTTGAGTACTTTTTCATGTACTTATTGACCATTCGTGTGTCTTCTTTGGAAAAAATGTTTATTCAGTTTATCCGCCAGTTATTAATTAATTAATTAATTTATTTATTTATTATCCTCACCTGAGGACATGCTCATTGATTTTAGAGAGAAGGGAAGGGAAGAAGAGAAAGAGGGAAAGAAACACTGATTGGTTGCCTCTCCTGTATGTGCCCCAACCAGGAACCAAAACCACAACCTAGGCACATGTCCTGACTGGGAATCAAACCCATGACCTTCTGGTTTAAGAGATGCTTCAACCAACTGAGGCACACTGGTCAGGGCCATCTGACAGTTTGTAATTGGATTTTTTGTTTTTTTTGATATTGAATTGTGTGAGTTCTTCATATATTTTGGATTTTAACCCCTTATTGGATGTACAGTTTGCAAATATGTTCTCCCACTTGGTAGATTGTCTTTTGTTGACAGTTTTCATTGCTGCACAGAAGCTTTTTAGTTTGGTGTAGTCCCACTTGCTGACTTTCACTTTAGATGTCAAGTCCAAAAAAAAACCATTTCCAAAGTCAATGTCAAAAACCTTACTCCATATCTGTTCTAGGCTGTAGGGGGACTGGAATGTGCATGTGTGAATAATGATGACTTCATTCTACTCGTCAGTGGCGGCAGTAGGTGCTATTGAGTGAGCATGTATACTGTGGGGCTGCTGCATTCAAAATAACTGAGCAGGGAGTTCTATGGTTTCAGGTCTTATGTTCAAGTCTTTATTTTGGGTTGATTTTTTTGTATGATATAAAATAGGAGTCCAATCTCATTCTTTTGCATGTGGCTGCCCAGTTTAATGAACATCATTTATTGAAGAGACTGTCCTTTCCCCACTGTATATTCTTAGCTGCTTTGATGTAAATTAATTGACGATATATGTGTGTGGTTATTTCTGGGCTATGTATTCTGTTCCATTGATTTTTGTGTCTAGTCTGCTACTGAACTCTTCTATTGAATTTTTCAGTTCAGTATTGTACTTTTCAACTCTGTGATTTGTTTGGTACTTTCTCATATTTTCTGTTTCTTAGCTGAAAGTCTCATTTTGTTCATTTACTGTTCTCCTGACCTTGCTTAGCATCTTTATGACCATCATTTTGAACTCTTTATCAGGTAAATTATTTATCTCCATTTCAGTAAGCTCTGCTTTTGGAGGTTTATCTTGTTCTTCTGTTAAAAACATTCTTTTGTTTATTTTCTTTGACTCTCTGTGTTGGTTTCTGCACATTAAATAAAATGGACACCTCTCCAGTCTTGACAGAGTGGGCTTATGTAGAAATTAACTCTCTCTTTTTTGTACAATTTTATTTATTTACTTTTAGAGAGGGCAAGGGAGGGAGAAAGAGAGGGTGAGA